GGAAGGAAGGAAGGAAGGAAGGAAGGAAAGAAGGAAGGAAAGGAAGACAGGAAAGATTGATGAGGAGGAATAGGACTAGGAAGGATCGAAAGAAAGGAAACGGCAAGAAAGGATGGAAGAGGAAAGGAAGGACGGAAAAAAAGGAAACGAACCAATTGCAAACGACCACTGACCACCTAATCAACAAACGAAGGATGGAGCGAGAAAGGGAAAGAGGGGAGAAAGAAGGAAGGAGGAAGGAAATAAATGCAAAAAAGGAAAACGACTAATAAATGAGAAAAATATACTAATCATAACCTAATTTGTTCTTAGCCAATCAAGCATCAAAACAAACTTAAATGTTGGTGGTTCCATGGGCGTCATAATTCAGCGCTTCTCATCAAACCTGCTAAACTAGAACTAATCAACCTTAAACCGAAGATATATATATTCAGAGACATGGTGACGGACTCCGAAGCAGCAACCATAAAGAAGCTAGCAAGCCCAATAGTAAGAAGACAAAGATAACTATGAAATCCACTATCAATAATACAGCACACAGTGTCGCACGCTGTGATATTTGGTTCTTTATTTGAAAAGTCCAATACGGCGGCTCTTTAGGACAAAAAATCGGTCAAAATATATACACTGTCCGCGCGATTTACTTGAAATTAAGCTTCAAGACTTGAAAGCACATGGATTTGAGTTGTCTACGTCAAGAATATTTCAGTAAATTCTCATCTCAATAGTGGTAAAAATCGAAAGCCGGCAAAATACTTAAATTCAAAGAGCATTAGGAAACACTTTTATACGCCATTGAGATCGCTGACCGCCTATGAGACACAGACAACTCAAGGTACATTTATAGGGCTTTTTCATGTTCACCGGCAACAGGTTATGACCCCCAGAGGTCGTCAAAATTTTAGAGATCGGCTCTAAAATCTAAATTTGTGTAAGATTTCTGATTTTTTTTCCAGCTTAAAAGAGCAACAGTACTCAACCTCGATACAAAAATTCTGGAGACTGCAGAATATCGAGTTAGCAAAAGGTATGACAGGCATTCTAATTTCTTGTGTCTTATACTAGGTCAGGATCTTAGACCCTTAGTAGTATATACCCTCTCATCAAAACCAGACTAATTTAGTGACACCAACCCTTCCGAACACACAACCAGCCAACCGAACAACCAACGAATCGTCCAACCAACTCACAAACCAAACCCACCAACTAACCAAGCCACCAAGCCACCAA